ATCGATCTCACCTTCTCACCCATCCCACCCAGGGGAGGACATCCATCACACAGTAATCTCGTGTGTGGGAAAATTCACGTCTCCTACCCCAACCCTGCAAGAGATGGGACCTCCATTTATTCGTCCCTATCCGAGAAGACTAGAATATCTAACTATTTCTTGATGTTATGGAAAGGTAGCAAATTCTTCTAAATTATTTTAAGCCCTTGAGTGTTGGTCCGGCCGGGGCTCGAACCCTCGACCTCCCGCACAACAGTCCAGCGCACTATCCATTGGGCTAACTGGGCGGCGGTGACGTCACATATGAGTTGAGTTTGTTGTTGGTTTTCCTATTTGCTCCGAGGGTTTCCCCCCAGCTCAGTCCAGTTTTCCTTCCCCTACAAAAACCAACGTTCTGAATTCCAATCCGACCTGGTAACAGTGGACAAGAAGAGTCACCTCGTGGAATGTCCGTTGCCAAATCACCAACCATTTTTATTTATTTACTTATATAAAACACTGTCCCAGCGACGTTGTAAAAACCAATTGCAAAAATTAAAAATTAGTCCAGAATAAGTAATGAAAATTACTTATTTATTCACTTACTATTTATTTTTGGCTTCCCAATCTTCGTCGATGCCCAAACTTGCAACATTTTGCCCGAAAATGCTCAAATTTGCGAATCTAAAGCCAAGTCTGGAAATCCTCTCTATCCTGAGATACTTTATTCATTCAAACATTGAAAGCCTAAATTGATATCTCCACTAGAAAATCTTAACAGTTTCGAAACCCACAATGCATTCAGCGCGGTACGCAGAAGTGGTAACTCCACCACTAATTCAAACAGGGTATTTTAGTGAGATGAGTTAAACGCCACTTGAGATGAAAAATTAACCACATCGCAATAATATATTTTTACTTCATATTAATCTCGCTCAGAGTATTTAGCTAAGTGACACACAAGGGAGAGAATCACTTCCTACGAACAGTTCACAGCAGATATTCTTGAATCATGCACTGGTTTTAACTTTATTTGTACCAAAACCGAAATAGATGTGTCCAAATTTACGGCTCTTTAGACATTCACAAACGCTATCCATTTTCCCAGAATTTTTTTTAAAGGATCTATATAATATAAATGCTTCAATAAAATAGCTTTCGGCAAAGTTTACTCAAACGCACCTTAGTTCTACGAATCAATAATCTAATCCACTTTATTTTGTTTCTTGCAACCACTGAACTTACGTGGGAAGTCTTTTGTTTAATGTATGTGTATGTATATATATGTATGTGTAGGAAATAATAGATTCTAAAGAATGTTCCTCACCGTCTAATGCGATTTTTAGATGATAAATTTTCGCCAGCCACCTTCAAAGCCATGTAAATAATCGTGTAAAGAAATACAACATTTCTGATACTAGAGAATCATATTTTAAGAGTCTACATGTGTACTATTTTATTTTCAAATACCTGCTTGCTGAACCAGCCGCCGAGCTTTTCTGTTCGATAGCACATGCTGCTACAGATATCCCGTGGTGATTTTCAACTTATTTCCCTGTGAAGCGTATATTGTTCGATTGTAGGACGTTTATCTGTTTGATATTTACTTAGAAGGAAGAACGACTATAAATTGAAGCAGAAACGTTTGAATGTAGCATAAGACGACAGTCGAAAATTCGTCATTAAATCAGATCGATTATGCAAATTGTAATTTCACGTGAAGTGCGTTGTATAGAGTTAACGAAAGTTCCTCACAAGCTGAGCGCCACGTTGGAAAAGAAAGGAAAAGCCTGTCGAACACTTTAAAGAATGATCAACTTGTTTCCGGAAGTCTACCCTTCGTTCTTAGGGCAGGGAGGATGGGGTGGCATCTAGGGATTAAGGTGTATGAACTTGTCGTGACTTCCAAGTAATTGGAAATTTTTTTAAGACAAGTCAATTATCAAGAAGAACCAATAAAAAATTTATTATCTGTTTCATTGAAATACAATCTGGCCCAGCAATTTACCATGCTTTGAATGTCACGTAGATAAAATGTCCGTTGTTTAACAACTGCACATATAAACTAGTCTTTCTTTTTTTAAAGAAAACAGTTTGAAGATTAAAGAATACTTCTTTGCTGTGAAGTGCAAGGGTGCAACTTTGAAGATAAATTTTGGAAATGCAATGACTTTTCATTTTCTTCTTCTATAATTACTTAGCTCTTTCAATTGTTTGGGCTTTCCATATTTTTCGAGATTATAATTCACTTAAAATTTAATGCTAAAATTTACAGCAGATCTTTTAGCTTCAATTCATATACACATTGTTTCTTCCAAGCAGAATATTACTTTTACTACACAAGTACATCAGCTTGTACCATACTTTGCAAGAAGCGAGTGAGAACAAAAATTTAGTAAGGCTATGTTACCACTAAAAGCTTTGGAACTATAATAATACTGAAAGAAGTAATAAAAGTGAACTACGCTGGTGCTTGAACTGTAAACTTTTCCATCTTTACTACAGTTTTTTATCTACCCTTCTCAAGCTCTGGTAAAGATGGAGAAATTTCTGGATGGTCTTAATCCTCAAAGAGATCTCCAGAACGCCATGGTTAAGAATAATGGGTCTAGTTATCTGTCAGTAACTTACACTGGATTCACGTTTGCATACACAAAACTCTAGTAAGTGGCTAGCCACAGAACACAGCTCTACCTTTTCTAAACTCTAAACATATTCACTCTCATGCATTACTGGATTGAACTAAGGATCTACTGTTACCAATACACTAGCTGATAGTGACTAAAATAATCATAAAAATTTGACTCTGATACATCATTCTCTCAGATTTCAAGCACGACAGGTTAAGTAAGTTTTCAAATGGATAGAGCAGTCATTAACCTGTTGAATTTTCAAGAATTCCTAAGGAGAGGTTAAAGGTTGTAAATTTTCCCAGTTACCACTTTAACAAGGAGAATACTGTTGATCACTCCCAAGGTTCAAAGCATTCCTTCAACATTACTATTACGTCTGACTCTTATGATCTATGGCTTCCAAAAGTTATCCTTACAAGAAAACTAAACAGAATAAACACACAGATCTTACAATTAAAGCAATGATGCAAAGTTTTACCTGTATAAAAGGTTACACGAAAAGAGAAAAGATGCATCTTTCTAACAACATAATATTTTTCACATCAGCTTGTCTTGTCGACAAGTGAATTCACATTGTCATTCATAATGAGCAGAGTTAGGCCCCAGAGTAAAAACAGATCTTAAAAAATCTTTTTGTTAAATAAATTAACCCCAGCCCATTTTCAGAAATTGGTCTTCATAAAATACAATGATATTCAAAAGCTGTAACCAAATCTTGACCATTATAACTACATGAACTGTGAATTTGAGCGCATTAAGGCAAACCCATTCCAAATGCACAATATATACAAATAGCAATTTTTTTTAAATAATTAGTGTACATTCTTTATAAGCTGCAGCCCTGACTTGTGGTTGCCTGCATTATATCATACTCTTTTCAATAGTCTGTACTTTTTCAAATAAATTATCTTGTCTCTTCAATACACGTAGTAGAAGTTCGATGCACCAGGATTAAGATAGCTCTGCATATGGCGCGACTGTTCCACTGCTGCCGTCACACGTTTGTTAAAATCACTGTGAAGAACATCACCCCCTCGGGGAACTCTGTAGAGGAAACCATCCACACCAAGCATACACAAGCCTTTCCCATTCATCAAGAATTTGTCAGCTGTTACATCCCGTATGCTGTATCTCTCTGTTGCCCATTTCAGCCACTCCATCACTTCCCATTTGTTCCACATTCTTGGATCTAAATCAAATAATAAGACTCTTTAATGTCTGGTCTCAAGAAAAACAGTCTGCCTTTTTGTCAAGAAAAGAGATGTTACAACTTGAGACAGAACTGAGCTTACTCTTTTTCCAAACATTTTGCTTATAAACCAGTGTGCATGTACAGTAACTACCTGTATAGAAAAATGTTAACCCTGGTTGAATTGCTTCTGAACATTTCCCCCTAAAAAATGTTTTCAAAGCCACCTCTTTTTGTACTTATACTACTGAAACACCTCCCCTTGATACCAAGCTGAATAAGTATGTGATATAAAGAGGCTCTGGCCTACACTGTGATACTGCAAACTGAACCTTAACTAAATTCAAATCATTCATTTTCTTAGACTTATAACTTGCAATCAGATAACAACAAGAATAAAGAGATCAGGAAAAATATATCAATAACTACAGTTTACAACGAGGTTTTAGTTCACAAATTGCTATCAATGTTACCATTTTTAAATAATATCACACAACTTTTGCATGCAATATTATTATGCAACACTAAATGATTTAACAACAACAAACATATGAAACATATGAGTGAACTGCGGTTATGAGACGTATATAAGAACGATCCTTCGCAGTAAAGCACTATTTAAGCAATAGTGGAAATCAGACCTGAAAAAAATTTCAGGCCTGTACGGGATTCGAACCACTGACCTCTGCGATACTAGTGCAGCGCTCTACCAATTGAGCTAACAAGCCAACTGGGAGCAGGCACTAGTATCGCAGAGGTCAGTGGTTCGAATCCCGTACAGGCCTGAAATTTTTTTCAGGTCTGATTTCCACTATTGCTTAAATAGTGCTTTACTGCGAAGGATCATTCTTATATACTAAATGATTTCTAAACATGTGTGACAATAAACATTTCTTCTGCATTTTGCAACAATGAAAAGATCCATTTATGCTTTTTCAACATAGTGCACTACATTTCATTGTTTTGTAATGGTGGTGGAATAATTCAAAAATAAAAAGCATGTTTTTAATCTACTTCCTCACCAGCTGGCACTCTTGGCTGTTCAAAGTTAAACACATTATCTTCATCATCAATATCTGGTACAACACAATCTTCAGATGTTGATGTGCTTCCCTTCTTTCTTGTTGGAGACGGAATGTCTGGGGAAAAAGACATTGTGCAATCAGAAAGGAACACTAACTGAGTTGACAATATTGCTTTAACCATTTAAACCCTAGGAATAGCCAGCACCTAAAGTAGCAATTTCTCTTTACAGAAATACTGCTGAAGCATTCATTAAGATTATGGAATAAATGAAATGACTGCCAACCCAAGAAGCTTCAACTGCGAGATGAATTCTCCTAGTCAGTACACCGAAGGAAATGTGTATCATTTTGAGAAGGAGAAGTGTAGGGGGACAGAAGCCCCCTAAATATGTGTACCACTCCCTTTCCATGTGCTTATGATTCTAGATGCGGTGGAATATTCTAACATACACTTTCCTCTGGGCCAATAACATTTAATCGATAATTAAGGTGTATGCTTACGCTAATTGGCTAAGCATGCCTTAAACTCAAAAAACTAGTGATAAAATCTACCACTTGAAGGAATTCATTTCTGTTGCAATAGTTTATTGCAACATTTCCAAGTTATGTGGAAGACTCTATTTATGAACTGTTCTTTGCATATTAAGCAATATTGGCTGAGAAAACTGCACAAATTTGCGTCAGTTCTTATTTAAAGAAACAGAAGAGTTGAGAAAATATTGGAATAGAGGAAAGACGTAGGTTTTTCACTTAGGGTGATATTGTTTTAAAAGCAATGATTTACGTACACCCCCACATTTGCTTAAGAAATAATGCATATCAGAATGAGGTACAATACTGAGTTCTTAAGATTGATTGTGTCAAAAATATTCTGTGATTGCCATTGGCAACACTGATCAATAATGGAAGCCACTGCAAACTTTTCAAAATGATATCTTTAAGGCACACTCACTTCCCTCCAAAAAAAATAGTACATTCTGGTGTTAACCTAGGTCACTGCACATTGTACACAGCATAATTCACATCACTTCTTTGCAGACTTGAAACAACTGACTCAGAAAATTTAAGGCACAAAAGCATCACAACATATAACTACTTTTTTCTTTTTCAACAAATGCTTTGTTTTATTAAGGTGGGTGTATTTACATGTAGGGATTTTGGGAGCACTCCCACTCACTGCTGAAAAATTAAAATTAAATTTCTTGACAAAAAATGATAAATAAAGGTGCAAGACTTCAATTCAAACTTTTAGTTGCTCAAGAGTTGCACAGGAAACATTTCAACTTGGTTAACCTGTGTTTTAAGCTGTGGAATTGATAGTGTTTGTTTCCCTGGTGTAAGAACAATAAAGTTCTGGTACTTCTTATTAAAATAAGAAATACCTTACTCAGACCTGAACAGTAACAAAAATTGTTTTTCCTCGCAGTAGCAATTAACCATAAAAAGATCAGAATTAATTACAACTGAAAACAGGTACTGGTTTTCACTCCAATTTTTTTCTTGAGGAAAAATAAAAAATCACACTTCACTAATTATTGAGTTAGGAGCAAACAAAAGAAAATTAAAAATGAAAAGTTTCCACGTAAGATTAGATCGCTGCCCACACAACACTATTACCTGTGGGAAACGACATCTGAAAATCTTCCAGTTTGGGTTTCGGTGTTGCTAGAACAATTATCTTGACAAGATATTTCTAAGGCCTATACTGTAATTCTACAGATAATACAGAAAAATAATCTGTCTACAATAGCAGACAAAACTTAACCCTACAAATAAACTTAGCCGATCAAAAATTTATCGAGTAGACAATTAAATTTGTCAAAAAAAAAAAAAATACAACTCTTTTCTCATCATCGTTTCTTTAATAGGTGGTGATTTATTATGGCAAAAGTTTTTTGCGTTCGTTCGATCGATTTGCTTATTCTACAACCCTGTTTCCCAAGCAAAATGAATTGAAAGAAACCGCAAATAACAAGCATTCTTGTGGGCGTCCGGGAATAAAGTTTACCTCAGACTGGAACAAAAAGTTCTTTGAAAGAACTATGAAATAAATTTACCCGGCGTGATAGCCAAAACCTACGCAAATTACATTAACACTGAGAGATATAATTACCGAACATTCTCTTTGAAGACAATGCTTTTAAATAACATTCACAAGCGACAACAGCGGAAAGAAAAGATCCATGATCTCCGTGGCATTAACCCGATTTACTAATCCAGGGAAACCACGCATTATTCATGACACAAGTACATTCATGTCATGACAGAGAACAAAACCAGCACACTCGAAAGTTCTCGAATACTGAAGATTGATACATTACCTTGAAAATTAACTCGAATATCAAGTTGGGTATCCTCCATAATTCCTTGCTGTCCTAGTGTGAGATTGTCTTGAAGCTGAAGGGTTAAAAAAAAAGTATTGATCTAAGAGTCATATCCCTGGGAGGTCATCACACAATACTAACAAGGCTCATTTATGCCGCGGATAGTCAACGCGTCACGTTTGAAATATAAGATTACCTTGTTAATATCGCCAAACATATGTGTGCATGAATCATTTCAATATACACTTACTTAAGCAGATCTTGGCCAAGCTTATGCACGAGAGACTTCTAATTAGCACAAACCTCGCCTCGATGAACAGTTTCGATCCTTTTCGTTTAATGAATTTAAGTATGTGGGAGTGCATTTCGAAATATATTTCAAAGGAAACTCGAACACAGCTCGCATCGTTTATTGCTGTGCAGCTGATTCACTGAAAGCTATTGGAAAGAAAGTTTAAGCCAGGAAACGAGACAAAGAATTAAACGTGTAGCAACCAGCTGAAACTTCGGACTCACACACCACTACAGCGTGACTCTCATGCGCGAGTAGCTGCATTGTCCGCGATCGCGCGCGGACATGAAAAAATTCCATTCCGGCGTGCAGTTTCTAGCATACAACAGAAAATAAGCTACTAACCGGATTTCCGTGAAAGAAAACATCTTGTTCTCCAACAGTAAAGCCCTCTTGCGCCTCTATCATTTGTTTCAGTCGAAAGACCGTCAAGGAAAGATGAATTCGGAAAGGAAACGACATTCGCGGCGTGCCATCGTCGATGAGAACTCTAGGAAAAGGAACAAACATGGAACCTAGCCAATTACCACAGCTGAATCAAAAGATTATTTCTGTAAAAGGCTAAGAACAACCGCACAAAAACAAAAATAGGAATGGTGCTAAAGCTTACCGAATAGCAACAGGATCGCTCATTGTCTCGGACCAATTTCTTATATTGAAATTCGTAAATCAGAGCAGCGTAGTGCAGACCGCGGTCTTTCTGCTAGCGACGCCAATCCGCCGTGATCAATGCTTTAACAAGAACTACCGTCTAAGACTGAACGAAACTCTGCTGGAATATAAGCACAACCGCCGTTTGTCAGGATCTTTGTGAAGAATCCATTTCGTGTACCGTTTCCCCAGTTCCGAGATGACCCAACGACTATTGTCATGTAATAATAGGGATTGAAGTCATTGCACCGTATTTTTAAGACCCAGGAGGCCGTCGTCCTGGAAACATCAAGCCCCATTGTTGTCGGCCTCCCTTATTTGGTTGACACCTCCCTCGCGATTTCGTCAGCGTTCCAAATTTGGAATTGGGTTTCACGAGATTTGCGTGCCGATGACGGCACGCCTAAGGATCGGGTCACGAAGATCTTCCGAGAAATGCCGTAAAGTATGCGAACACTTTCTCAGAAATATTAATTTACAAATGTCCCGCGCTTAGTTGTGTACTGTAACGTTCTGTACACGAGAATCAGGGAAAAAAATTCTCGGTGTACATTTCATTTCCGACTCTTCCATTCGCAGAACATTTTTTGCGAAATGATTTTGACCTTTGCCTAGCAAGTCGCCCTCAAGACTAACTTGAAATCGAGATACACGCTAAATTGCGTGAGAAAGCATAGCTGTCCAATAACATATTTGAACACGGATCAGCCAATATCGTCCTTTTATAAATAACAGAATAAAACCCTTTCACACAAAATAGAAATATGACAGTTTAATTTCAGGTTGGTAACTGCTATATTTAGGAGCCTTGAAAAATATAGAACAGCTGAGTGTTAATTATCTAATTCATAAGCAAACGATAAAATTTCTACTGGTCAAGCTTAACAGCTCAATGCATTTTCCTTTTTCTATCGAACAGACGGAAAAAGGGATTTAAATCAAACCTTTACGACATTGATTCGTGCTACATTAAATCAGTCAAAGAAATGGTTCTATCTCCGATTTCTCTCGCTATAAATATTGTTAATCTTTTAAAAGCAATAAATAAATAAATTTAAAAAGACAGAGACAAAAACATTTTAAACAAGGAAAAAAAAATATCTTCCCTAAAACGTGCCATCCTCAAGCTCAATTTTGTTGAGGAAGCGTAACATGATGCTAAACAGTTTCACGTCTCTTAACATGATTAACATTGGATTCTTTTGTCCAGCGTACAGATGTACCCTCTTAAGCTGAGTACGATTGCTGCCTGCCGCTCACCCAATAACTACCCAAGCACGTTTCAACTTTACCCAGATACACAACAAAACGCGTTTGAGTTAAACCACTTCCGTATTTATTCCTTCAACGTTATTTTGAGATACATTAAAAAGTTTTTTCTTTTTTTCTTGTGCCCTTTCAGTTTTCATTTCACTTCTAAGGTCAATCAAATTAAAACTGTTGTCTCGCTTGGCAGTCTTGACGAAAGTACTCTCAAGTACGGCATTTTTTACATAGATCTAGCCACTTCACTGGCGAATACTCTGCTGGGGAACCAAAGCGTTCAGCTTCACCAACTGAGCTGTCACTCAACGCATTATGCCATTCATCGCTATTTCGCTTTCTTGTTCTTGAGAAGCGCTTGTCTCAGTGCAAACTGAAAAAGACAAGAATAGGCCGAGAGAAACAACCAAGTTAAACAGAAATGTTTTTTTCTCTTTCTTGGTCTTCCCGAGATCAGAGGATAGAGACGGAGGCTACAAACAATGAAGCAGTAGGAAAGTTAAACCCCATGCAAATTTTAATTGAAAATAAATTGTTTATAATGCTTACCAGAAGTAACTTCTCAGTTTAATTTTTTATAGCGCATTTATTTCCAAGTTTTCAGAGTCTTGGTCTCATACAGCCCCGTCATTTGTGTATTTTGTTTTTCAAGGAACCTCTCTTAAACACAATTCTTAGCAAAAAACAAAACAAAAAACAACTACAGCAACAACTTTACTGTAACGTCTCTGGAATTTTTCTTACTTTTTTTGAACACATTCTTCCTTCTTTTTTTTTTCTTTCTTTGATGGGAAGGGGGGGAGGGGTAGCGGATGGGGGTAGGGGATAGGGGGTAGGGGATAGGGGGTAGCGACATTTTGCGAGTCATTTTATGGAGTTTTATTGAACTGACAAGCACTGGCAAAATCTGACTGTGTCCGTAAAAGAAATAAAAATTCCTTAAAAGGACCAACCTGCTTATCTCGAAATGAACGTTTGTTTTTCCCTCTGACATCTTTGTTGTGACGCATCATCATGAAATTCTTATTTTTCCTTTTCTCCTGCAAAAGTCCAGAAACGTTGGTTTTCATAAAAAAAATGACTTTTTTCTCAGTACGTTTTGAGCAACTCTTTCTTTGAATTTCTCCAAAATGTTTGTGACGAAAAACAGTCTCCGCTGACCTTATTTGAGGTGCTGGCAAACTGATTGAGACGCTTCTTTGAGGCCTTCTTTGAGCCGAATTTTTCTCTACCTTGTCTGCCAGCCTAAAACAAAATAAAATTAACGTTAAACTAAATGAATTTCAACTGGGTTGAATCTTCCTAGCACGAGATTAAAAAAAAAAAAAAAAAAGAGTTTGGTCAGTTACAGTGGGAGCGCTATTCTCATAATAGCTGTTGCTGGGACAGAGACATGATCTATCATCCGTCCATCGGGACAATAAGTTACACAAACTTCCCAACACTGCGACCTAACAACAGTGTAAGGAGGTGAAACGACGCTCCTCGCCAGTGAGCTGTAATTCAAGTAATGGCAAAAAAAAAACTGAAAAAAACCTGAAAAAAAATCAGGCTTCGGCAGGATTCGAACTCATGCCCTCCCC